ATATATATATATACATACAGAGGCACACATATGTTTATATAGAACAGACACACACACACACATGCACATGCACACACAGCTGCCAGCTGCTGATGCTCTCGGTGTTGATGCTAGGCCCCCGACCGTGACCCGTACACAGCAGCTCGTATTTCTGGCGCCAGCTGTCAAAGCCGCAGTTGGCATAGTGGAGCACCACCTGACAACCGGGAACACCCTGCTTCATCGGCTTGGGGTTTAGGGTTAGTTTCGGGCTTCGGGGTGAACCTGAATGCAATCCAATGCTCAGCCGCGAGCTGGCGCTCCGGGCCCTTTGCAAAGCAAGGTGTACAGCGTCATGCCTGGCCAAGGGAGACGGGTCACGGCAGAGCCCTAGGTTAGCTCACTTCCGAAGCTTCCCCCGAGTGCTAATGTTGCAGGCCGGAACCTGAACTCTGGTGCGAAAGCCTGTTTCACAGAAGGACCCTGGGTTTTGGGAGGGATCCAAGCCGATAACCGACAACCCAAAGCACGACTCGGTCACCGCCCCAGCTGCACCTCCGTCTCGCAAGAAGCCATGAACTCCTCACGTGTCGCTCAGGGGCTTGGAGTTAGTGCTTAGGGTTTAGGAAAGGGGGTTTCAGGGCTGGGCGTCTGGTGCTGAGGGTTGTACGGGACGGGGTCTTTAGGGTTCTAGGGTGTGGCATTCGGGGTTTTTTAACAAGGGTCTAGGGATTCTAGGGTTTGGCCTTTGGGGTTTAGGGATTAGGGCTACGTTCAGCTTTTTCGCTTCCCTGCCTGCTGGGAGAGGTGGAAGCTCACCTCGCGGACCGATGGAAGTCCTGGAAAATTTCGGAACACTTTGGTACCGATTTTGGGTCCTTAGTATAAGGATCCCATAATATTGGGGTCGTTGTCCTAAGGATCCTGGTATTTGGGGGCCGTTATTGTAAGGATCCTACCCAAACAGCAGGGTCCTGCTATTCGGGGATTCTATGTATTTGGGCATGGATACTGTTATCGGGTGCCCCACAAATTTGGGGTCTTTGGAGTCCTTGTAAATCCTACTATTTGGGGGCTATGTATGTTTGGCGGCTCTTATTGTTAGGATATTTCCTAGAAACCTTAAACCCTAAGCCCCGAACCCCCAAACTTTAAGCTCCAAGCCCCTTGTCCCCAACCGAGCTTCACAACTCCTGACCGCGCTCTTCCCGTTGGAGTAGGAGTTGAAGTATGCCGGGCCTCGGTGGCTCGCGGGTCTTTTCGTTGAGCTCCTGCGAAATCAGCTGCTGGGGCTCAGAATTGAATAATAGTCGCAATATCAAAATCATAATAATAATCATTGCCATCGTAACAATCATCATCATGATTATAAGCACAAACATACTTGCATAACCATGCATAACCATGACTATAAGAATGATCACAATCAGAGCTACTTACTTAAACCCATGATCGAATTCTCAAAACAAGGATCAATCAGAATTGTGAATTATAGTAATCATCGTCAGCCCAGGAGCAGTGTGGCCGAGGTCCGAAGCAACTTTCATCGTCGCTCGAATCATCATCCGGAGCCTTGTGGTGGAGCTATTGTAGCTATTGTTACAGTTTCGTTATGCTTAACTATTATTATCACTACTACTGCTGCTGCTGCTGCTGCTGCTGCTCCTACTACTACTACTACTACTACTACTACGACGACGACTACCACTACCACTACCACTACCACTACGACTACCACTACGACTACTACTACGACTACTACTACGACTACTACTACTACTACTACTACTGCTACTGCTACTACTACTACTACTACTTTTTTGGCCATTATTACTACATTTATTGCAATGGCAGCTTCATCGTACTGTCCGTCTTGCTATTGCTACTCTTCTCAGTATCATCTATTTTCATTCCCATTCATGTGACTATTCCGCTGCGTTTTGTTCTTGGCAGTGTTGTCACTATAAGAAAAATGTCATAATCCTACTGATGGTATTTCTGATTGTCATCATCTGTTTTCGCTGCTATTGTTCTTATGGATGTTTTGTTCAGCTCAAGTCGGATGCCCTAATGAAGGAAGACTCCCTAAAACATATTCAGGATCCTATTACAACGTAAGGTCTATTCCTGAAATTAAGGCAATTATAAGGGAGTCTCTCCCTCCCCGGCCTGGCGCGTCTCGACTGGATTCAGCTTCACCTGCTCTTCTAAGCCATGGTGGAGCTCATTGAGGCTGGGTTCTGAGGGTTGGGGTCTAGGCCTTCAGGTTTACGGTTCAGGGTTTAGGCAGGCGTTTAGGGCTTTAGGTTTGCGGGGCTTTTGGGGTGTAGGGTTTGGGGTTTTGGGTTCCAGGCTTCTTTCTTGGTTAAGGGTTTGGAGGCGGCTTAAGCACGTGGCAGACTCGCCTTCAGTTGCTCCAGGACCGGAGTTCGCTTTGCGGCCTTGCTGCAACAGATTCAATGTCTCCGTGCATTGCCGCTCATGGCCAGTGTTCTCACTTGCGCTGGCTGAACTCAGCTCCCGTCAATGTCATGCATGACGGACAAGAGCCTCCGCAGAGCATGCCGCTCCTCCGCGCAGCATACAACAGCCGGTGCAAGCAGCGCCGCAAAAACGCGGTGGCTGCCCCGACGTCGGACGGTTTGAAAAACCCTAAACCCTAAAGCCAATTTGAAAAAGCCTAAACCCTAAAGCCAAAACCCTCTCCTTGCGCGGGAGCCTCTTGAAGCTGTGCGCGTGGCCGCCTGGGACGGCGTCGGCGTGCTGGCGCGTGAAGAGATCCTGACATGTAGGCAGTCAAACCAGCGCGGGAGAGCTTCTATAGTATAATATATAAAGCAACATCATGGTAGCAGGGGAAAGCAACATGCCATATATCGCCATATACTGTACGAGGTAGTATAAAGAGCAGACTACAATGCACGGTAACCGTCCGGCTCGAGCTCTTCGTCTTCCTCAGCCACCTCCCCGGAGGAGAGGATCCGAGGCTCCACGCCCAGCTCCTGAAAGCTCACGAAAGGCGCCGATGCGATCCCACGGCCTTATAAAGACTATGTAAACTTCAGCATAAATACTTAAATCAATATATATATATATATAGGATATTTATATATATATATAAAGGATACATACAAAAAAGGTAGGTGTGATACATACAACATAAAATATGACAACAGAACGTATAACATGACAACATAAGGAGCCATGCTCATATGGTAGCCTAGCATCTGGTGTACTTGCTGGGAGTCCTCGAGCAGCATTGGGTTCATCTTGAACAGGCTCACTTCCTGAAGCTCTATATATCGAGACATCTTTTGAGGGGTTATAGGATTTAGGCGTTTAGGGCTTAGGGCTTGGGGGGTTTAGGGTTCTTTAGGGTTTAGGGTATCATGACAGAATATCGATATCGAAGTGTAGGCCGAAAAACCTGCGCGGGCCTCGAAGGGGTCGCCGGTTTCGAGGCTTTGCGGGGCGGCTTCCAGGTTCGCAAAGCGAACCGATGTGAAGTGCAGCGGGACCTGCCCAAATCCACCACAGGATCGGGCGAGTCCGAGCTATGGCCCATGCTTCTGTCAGAAAGGGAGGGAGAGCTCTTGGGCTCTCGCTTGTTGACTGTGAGATGCAATTTAAACTAGGTCCTATAGCGAATGAGTACAATGTTGAAAAGACCGCAGGGGCCTTCTAGGCTAAGCAGATCCTGGGGGGGCAAAGTGCGAGCGTGTGTTCCCTTCGCCCGACCTGGCTGAAGAAGCTAGGGGCTTCAGTATACTCTTCATATTATGTTACATTATACATATTGTATTATGAAAAGGGAGTGTTCGACTTTGATCGATTTCAGAAACATTCCTACCAACTACGGCATTGCGCCTGGCCTCAGCGAAGAATCTCCGGGCATCAGCGTGCCGCTCCTCGGACTCTTGAAATCGTGCTGGTAAACTTCGAAAGCTTTATTGCTGTTGCTAGTCCTGCCGCTGCTGCCAGCACTGCTACTACTACTGCTGCTTCAATAGCACTTGGAATCGCAACCATCGTGGTGCAAGCCTACGTGCGAGTTGCTATGCTCAGTCTTGGTGTGGTTGTCGTCGTGCCGTTCTCAGGTGTGAAGGTGGTGATGATGACTACGATCACGTTAGTAACTAAGGCGATGATGGTGGTGATGATTCCTGATGATGATGATGACAAATATGATGACGAAGATGACGACCAAGATGACGATGACGATCGCCAACGTGCTTGTGGCGCCGGTGACGAAACTACTGGTTATCACAATGGTTGAGCAACGAGCTCATTCTTTCGAAAAAACACATAGGCTCAGAATAGGCCAGTAAGCCAGTAGCAGAATAAGAAGCAAACGACTTGCTTTGATGCTGATTCTGACTCACACTGCTCTACGTCTTGGCTCTCGAACGCATTCGCTGGGTGCTATGCGACCTCATCACGACAATAATGACAATCATCTTAGAAATACTGTCAGTAAGAGCAATCATCAGAAAGTGAAGTGGCAAATCATGTTTAGGACTCGTCTCACAAGCACCGACCTTGTGATTCTACATCGGCAACCCTAGACGAGCCCAGCCTGGTCAGGGAAGAACAGGATCTCATCTGCGTCAACATGCAGCAACCTGGCTTGATGGATTTGGAGTTTAGGGTTTTTAGGGTCTTAGGGATGTTTAAGGTATAGGGTGCTTTGCAAGTGTGGGGTCTGATCATATAGGAGTCTTACATGCTGGGTTGCTACATGTTGCTGTACCATATTTGTATAAGCATGGTAGCCTACTGCACAGGTGCCCGGGATTCGAGACCGAGGAGTTCAAAGTGAACTGTCCGAGAATGACTAGGAAAGGATGATGAGCAACCAGTCCAAAACAAGAAACAGTACAGCCCGTCAAACAAACAAACAAACATTATGACGAAATGCAAAAATCATAACTCGAATCCGCGTACAAGACCTGAGGTTGCTGTAAAGGCACGGAGGAAGCTACGTTTGCAATACTATCTCATGCTAAACAGTGGAGAATAGTGGAGAAGTAATGTGGCTAGTCGAGTCTAGATTCTAGATCAACAAAAACCTCTTGGCCGTATGCATTCAACATTCCGGTGTCGCTGCTCAGGACAAGGCCATTCGAAGCCCTCGCTCTGCGCTTCAAACAAGGCATCCTCGATGCAGAGCATTTGTCGAGCCTGTCATCACGAGCGAAAGCTCATTTTGCAAAAGTCTGGCTGCTGTATTAGGAATGGTTGTTGCCACTTCAGCTTGAAAAGCTCCACGGGAATCGCACAGCGTTGAGAGCTCTTTACTACGCAAATTCCGAGATCCATGCACCCGGCGCATCATCTCAAAACACGTGTGTCAGTCTGAGGTCTTTGCTTTAATCACTTTCATCCCTGTTGACAAGACACACAAACACAGGAGCATGCCTGGACGTCTTTGATGTTTGCATCCAGATGGGCTGTCTCACCTGATCTGGCATGCCTTCTTTGCAAGTTCGCACACAGAGCATGCCAGAGTCTCAGCCTATGATCTCAGGGACAGGCGGTACAGCTCAAGCGTCTCATCCTCTCGCAGATAGTATCTTGAGCTCCTCAGGCAACTTGAAGCAACTGGCGGCAGAGGCGCGAAGCACAAGGCTACAGTCACTGGCATCCTTCAAACTCAACCATTCTTCTCAGAAACATGCATGCAACCATACTTGCATTGTCATTACCATGATCGTCCCCGAATCCCATCTCACCATAATCATCATCATCACCATTAACAGCAGCAGTAGAAAAAAGCAGCCGCCTTGTCATTATCAACTATATAACAACATCGATCGGCCTTCGCACTTCAGTCCACCATGCCTGCGCCAAGTGCAGTTGAAAAGCTGAGGGCGCAAGACAGGCTCGCCTCAGTGCAGCGAACGGCAACGGCCCTGCAGAGCATCCCCACTGGCCTGGCAAGCTGCGCGTTTAGGGTTTAGGGTTTAGGACGTGAAGGTGACTCTCATGTGCTGCTGCAAGAATGACTACTGACTGCTGGTCACCAAGACCGCATGCCACTGTGATGAACAGCGATTCATGACCCGCAATACCAGTAACACTGATGTCCTACATAATAACTAGCACAAAGCACGCATCAAAGAATGCGGGACTGGCCCGGTTGGGAGTGGCTTTGCGAACTGCTCCACAGCAGCGATGGCCTGCGAATCAGCACAAGGTGGAATCGAGAGAAAATGGAGGCCGTCGCGCATGGGGCTCCCCTCCAGATGGTGGCTGTAACTGCGGTGTCAAGCGGGTTCGAGACTTTGGAAGACAGTACGAGATGGCCTCTTGCTCGCCGGGATCGTCTGGACAGTCGAAGTAGATGACGACTTTCTCGAAGCCATTGGCATGATGATGAAGTATCAGGCTCTCCAGCATTCTGGGCGCGATTCCCCTGGAGCACCAGGTCAGAATGCACCATAAAACACTACCCTAAAGGCCCTAAACCCTAAGCACGAGGCCGCTGAATGTGTACATCATGGAACCCTCGGAACCAGGGAAGGTTCTCAAGCCTGGCCTCACCATGGAGGCCTCGGCTTGCCAAGGCCCCCAAAAGCGGTCGAAAAGCTGCGGCTGCGGCTCAGGGCTCGGCAACGCAGAGACGTGGCAAGGGGCGGTCCAGGTCACGATGGTCTTCGTGCAGCAAAGGCGGTGCCTGAGGGTCTTCCAAGGAGTGGTTAAACACAGGTTCGAAGCCCAGGATGCGCAAGCAAGGGAGGGCCTCAAAGATGGTGCCGTCCGGCGAATGCCAGCCACTCAACCTCGGCAGCATCATTTCCCTTGACATCCCGACCACTGGAAGACTCCGGTAAGACACCTTGCTAGGAACCCGCCGAGTCTGTAGCCATGCAAGGTCGACAAGTGACTTTGGCCTCAAGCCTGGCAGTCGCACAGCCGGTACTTCGCAAAGGGTCTGAAGCAGGCTCCACCTTTTCGAAGCTTCCGCCAAAGTACACCGTTGGCCTTCGGCAATGCAGGCTGCATGGGACACAGTGCAGGGGCAATCCGGCACCTCAGCACACTGCAGCGCTTCGCTGTATTGCCATTCCTGCTGTGATGCGCGACGACCAGTCTGTGGGTCCAACAGAGTTGGGGTTTTAGTCGGTGTTAGGGCCGGGTTTGGGGTTGAGAGTCATTGAGAGGTGTTGAGGGGACTGTCCTCAAGGTTGGTGCTGCAGTGGTGGAGGTAACGTGGCAAACCGAAACGCCGTCCATCCACAAGAACGAACCTCGAAGCAAACTGAAAGGTGCAACATGCCGCAATCTTCCCCGCGTACTCGTACATGTCTGGGAGCGCAGCACCGGGGGCTCATCATCAAAATCCTGCAGACAGAATGTGCGATGCACTTCAGCTCGCAGAATCCCTCGCCCTGCGCTTTTGAAAAAGTTGCCTCGCTCTCAGCCAGGACATTGCTCGCCCATACCTGCTTGACCATACTGCACAATACCTCAACCGACATGCGACTGAGAGCCTTCAGAAGAAAATCAAAAGCTGCCCATCCCAAGCCAGGGTGTAGCGGTTTTGCAAAAGCTGCCTCGTCTTCGTGTAGCCGCGCCCACCCGTCAGAGAAGTCTCGAACGAGGACTACTTGGCCATACTCCAGCAGCCCGACCTACCAGGATTCACCGGCCAGGCTCACTGTCTTCTGTTGATTAAGCCAATATTGCTACAATACTCCTACAGCAGTACTGCACTACTCTAACTCGAATGGTACTATTGTACTGTTCTACTCGTACCATACTGCTATAACACTACTCTAGTATGGTATACCTTTTTGAAATGATGCTGTTCTTATCTGATTCTATTCGGACAAGAGGTGGGAGGTTGTTGCCTTCGCAGCATCGATCTGGGGCTGGGCGCGAAGCACGACATCGTCCTCTGCGACCTGAGCCACGGATCTGAATACGGTTCCTACGAGGGCCCCTTAAGGCACGAAACCCAAACAAAAGTAGGGGATGCCGTCATACTAAACTACTAGAAAACCACGTGAATTACTACAAATCATAGCGGTAAGAGAGTACACCGATTGAAAAAACATGCAGTGGAGGCACCTCCAAGAGGAACTTCTCTTGGGCTCGGCCCTTCAGCTGCTCCAACATCTCCCCATGGCTGCATGGCCACCCGAAGTCGTGCGAAGAAAGACACCAAGGGCTGTAGGAGTAAGGGGTGGTACAGGGGTTGGGGTAGGTAGGTCTGGGGGGATAAGGAGGTCTCTGGCAGAAAAAGCATCGGAACATCTGAAACTTGCATTCGACTCGGATGGCGCTCTTGGCTGGCTGTGAGAGGGATTAGGGATCCTAACGAACGGTGCGGCTGAACAGGAGACGCTTGACTGAAACCCACCAATCCCATACCGGCATTTCAAACGATGCTCAAAGGTGACTCATGTGGGCTTTGATCCATGGCTGCAGCAGCACAGCCCTTCTCTGAAGCAGTTCCGGCTGGCCAGAGACCCGGGGTTGGAACCAACTTTCGGACCTCGAGGTTCTTGGAGCCTTGGCCACCAGGCAGAAAGCTCCTCTTGTGAAGAAAGGCTGCGGAGTGCCTGTGTTCACTCGCCGGAGAGCCGCAGACCTCTGATCCGCGGTGGAAGCTTCAGGCAGGTGAGACTCAGCAACATGAGCGCAACCTGTTGCAGGGCCCACGCGCATCATCCGGATCCATGTAGAACCGGCCGAGTCTTTGCTCGACATCCCTCGGCAACTCACATCTCAGACAAGCCGAGAGCATCGTGTGAGAGCGAGGGGCCGGGCTCTAAAACAGGCGAGCCCGATGGGTCCGTCCTGAGCACAGCACACGGAGTCCCGGATTTTAGAGACGCCCCGCAAAGATTCCGAGACTCCCACACTGCGTAAACTGGCACCTCGCCCAAGAGCCTGGCAAGAGCCCAAGGCTTCAAGCGAGTGTCCATCGACTCAAGGCATGTCCGCCAGTCTGCCTCGTAATCTTCGACTTGTATGTATCCAAGTCGATCGGTGTTTTGTCTGCAGTGCAGGGGAATAGAAACTCCAGGCGTCTCAGAACGACTTTCCGTCGGTCCTTCGGCTCGCGCGCTAAACGCCGGCCAGTCCTTGCGGGAAAGGGCGTGGAAAGCCTACAGGGAGTTCAAAAGAATTCCTTTGGCGTCCTCGGCAGCCAGCAGTGCTACAGCAGGCCCCAACACCTCCGCAGGAATACTCGCCAGGGTCACCAAGGGTAACATGGCCCGCTGTCCCAAGACAGCCTGGCGCCGCAAACGGCGGTGGAAGCCGTGAGATCGTGGACCTGCGTCCAAACAGAGATCCCATGATGAGGAACAAATTGCCATTGAAATTCCAACACCGACTGGACTCCAAAATCCAAAATCGAAAGTCCAAAAATCCAAACCCCACGATGGCCCTGGGGACAATCCCGTGAAGCTGCCTTCTCTCCCCGTGCTGTGGGACCACGCAACATCGACCTGGGACTGAAATCTCTGCGGCAGACAGACTTGTCAGCTCACAGGCTCACAAGTCACGAAGAAGACAGATAGTCGAGAAGCAGGGGTTGTGTGCACGATTCTCCGAAGTAAAACTCGGCTCTCTTTCTTCTCTGGGTCCCCTTACCTTCATTTTTGCATTATTCTGGACCCTTGGCTACAGAAGTAGAGTTTTTGTGACTGGATTATGGACCCCGGAGAGGAATCTAATTCAGAGGATCCTCATGCGCAGGACGCTGGCAAATCGAGTCGGGCGCTCCGCCAGGAGAACTCTGTCGGAAGATGAGGCTGAGAACCTCAAAACATCTCAAAACTCAATCCGTCCCAACTTACCGATCCTAGAGTCTGTCTGACCTTGTGCGAGACATCCTTTCCAGATCTTTTCTAGCGTGCAGCGGGCCGCAAGGTCAGCGCTAGGGGCTGAAGGTTTCGGGCGTAGGGTTGAGCTCAGTTTCGCCAGTCATGATCCTGGAGATACCCGGGCAGATGCTTCCAAGGAGCCCCTAGCAGGATCAGGCCGGCATCTCGGATCCATATCCTGCCCTGTCGCGACTTTCGCGTCGGTTCGTTTCGCTGCATGCTGCAACAGTCGAGCCGAAAAGTCTGAGAGAACATGCAAAGCTACATTTCCAAGTCGGGAGCCGCTATTCTGATGCACTGCCAGGGGCCGGCTTACCAGTGAGGACCGAGGTTGGAGTCCAGCGAGTTTTTCAGGATCTTGGCCTCCAGCGGGCACAGCTTGGAGGGGGAGAGGGTTCTTAATATTGGGTAGTATTCTTGGTATGATGAATATTATGAGTACTAAGAGTATTATGCATATTACTGATATTTTTCCCAAGATCAACTTCAACTTCGAGGCTGTGACAAACAAGGTCCATCTGGCAAGCTCCACCATCGTCTCGTCCTCCGGACTTCTCAAAGCCAGCTGACTCATTGACCCGGGCATGCGCTGAACAAGCAATGCGAATCGCCCCAGGTTTACACTGGCCCTAAGCCCTAAACCCTAAACCGGCCTTGTTGTGCTTGACATGCAAGTTGTAGTACATGTTCACTGCGTCCTCGGTCAGCTGCTTGTAACGCATGGCATCCAAGCTACGCAGCTCAACGCTGCCTGTATTCGCTTTCGATCTTTGGGAGCGAGGTCGCATTTTTGCAGCTTGGCCTGCGCAGTACTCAGCCCAAGCAAGACTGCAATACAGTGCAGTGAAAGGCGGCAACATACAGATAATAGAAGTGACATGCCCACCTCGACTATGTCGCCGTCTTGCGACATGGCTGCTTGAGAGGAGTCCCACCACCTACTTCCTAAATGTCCGGTGATATGTACCCCCGCCCACATCACTGCAGGTCAAACTGCAGCAGGTCTTTGCGTTTTGTAGCTACGTGCAACTGTGCAGGTTGGCGGGCACGCAGGATGGCGTTGTTCATGCATTCAGAAGGGCAAAGCCTGATGCGATCACAGGGCGTGCCAGTTTTGGCCCACGAGCACCGATCTAACAGCAATCAAAGTCATAAGAGTAACGACAAGCCTGCCAGGAATACTGGTGGTGATGCTTAGTGGTGGTGGTCTTGGTAGTGCTAGTGGTAGAGGTAGTGGCAGTGGCAGGGGTAGTGAGAGTGCCTGTCGTAGTTGTACGATGCCTTCTTGTGGTAGTAGATGTGCTGTAGTTGTAGTTGTAGTTGTAG